GAACATTACAATTTCCTTTTATCTCTACGGAAGTTTTAGTTTAATTGTTTCAAGATATAAACTACCTAATTTAAGTTCAAACATAAATAAGAGAGTAAGAGTTTAATGTCCTTTCGAGAATAACTGGAAAAGGTTTCGAACAGTACTGAACGTAGATAATAGTCGAAAAAGTCAAAGATAGTTTTTTTTTCAATTTAATATATACTAGTTTATAGTGTTAGAATATCTAATTCAATATTTGATTCAATAGCCAAGGAACCCTTATTTTTATACTATTAATCAAAACGATTGTATAGCTTCTCTCAATATTTATATTTAAAAAGATTCAAATGAAGTGAAATTGTACTAGTTTTTACACAAGAGATTATTGTTCTATATTTAAACTATTTATCAGATTTACAATTCAAAGGATTTGAGGGTGTGAGTGTGTTAGGACGGATCGTGTTTTCACTCACACCCACACCCACACCCTACTTCGTAAATATTCAATGAGACAATAATTTGAATTAGCTACCAACAATGAAGATCGTCTAATTTTCTTTGTGACACAATATTCAACGTATATGTCGATAAAAACAACTCTTTCCTTTTTTCCAACTAAAAATGAGGTGATAGACATTATTTTCTTCTTTTTATAACTTGTATTCGATGAAATAACATTAGACTATTGAGATTCTCGGAAAAAGTAATTTTAATTTTCTGCGACATATTGTAACAGGAAAAAGAAATTAGTTACTATATATGACTAATTTTACAAGGTAGTCGCGTCATGGAAACTAGAAACTTAAATTGTATTACTTTGTTTTCTAAAACTAATAAGCTATAATGCATGCGGTAGTCGATACTATTAAGAAATTCTACATATCAGAGAACTAATGATATATCGTATATGACGACATATATAAAATACTTTTTTTCTCACCATTTTCTTGTTTTTTTATTACTTCTTCCAAGAGACTGAAAATTATTTGTTGTTAGCTCGCTATTCTTTTATTCCTGAAAATCTATAAAGTTTGACAGTATTGAATGCTATTTAAACTGGAAATAAAAGACTGTGTTCACTTATCGTTGACCTACTTAAAGACAAAGATTGTCGATGAGAAAAAAGTGAGTTGGAACATATTATCATGAGCAGTCTCTATTTTTTATTTCTCTGTATTTATAACAGAAATTTTGGAACAAATACATCAATCAAATATGGATGTTTTGCTAATGCCGTTTAGTAATTATAAAATTGACTTAAAGTCGTAATTTTACTCTACTTCTCTTGCACTCGTCGATTTTCAGTTGCATTATTTCAACGAAAGATTACTATTCTATCCTATCAAAAATGAAATCTTTAAATATCTTTATATTTTAGAGTTCGACACTCTATGGCAAGGAAAGAGAGGATCGAAAGTATAGAGGGCGCTTATTTTTGTTTTGCATCAAATGGTCGTTTAAGACATAAGTACTAGCCAATAAAATATAAATCAAATTTATATCTTGTAATTCGAGGTTTATACTAGACGACGAATATAATTAAAGTAACTTAGGATTTTATTTTCAATAAATTATCTTTGTTAACTGTTTTAGTAAAAGAGATATATAATTCAGAATGATTTAGTATAAAGATAAACAAGGGATGATTTGAAAATGAATATTAACGCTTAATATACTAAAAATATGTTTGAGAAATTTTTATAAAACTACTGTGATTTTCGGAGAGTTAATATTTAGTAGCTTCTCGCTAAATCGATGCATAAAATTCAGTTTAATTTGATGACGTAGTATTTTTTTCTATTCTCTTGATGACGTAGTATTTTCTTCTTTCCTCTATGACTTAGCATTTTTCCTCCTTAACTATAAATATTTTGCTCCTCTAATACATATTTCATTCAAAACAAAATATCAAGAGGTAATACACAATCACTCTAATAGTATTCTGTCATTCGTTTAAATAGTAAATATATTGATTTTAGATATTTTTGTTGATACGAAGAATTATTATTTGTAAAATATAGGATCTATATTGAATTAATCAAGGAGTATACATATATGAAGCTAAATATGTCACATGTTTTTTTATCTCTCAATTTATCATCTTTCTTTCCACATCACACGTTGATTACTTTTTTAAAAAAATATATTTAAATTTGATTTCGAAGGAGTGATTGAGTATATTTAGTCGAGAAAAAAATTGTTTCTTGTCGCTTATTCACTATGATGTGATATTTAACTTTTGTTTTTATTTCTTAGATATTATCAAAATGAGTTCTGACGAAACAGTTGGCCTTGGTGTGCGTGCACCAGAACGAATTAATGCTCCATTTGAACGTGTTTGGGCAGTTATGATTGATAAAGTCTATAATACATCAAAGTATTTGCCTGTTCAGGATGTTAAAACAGAAGATCGTTCACCAACACATGTCTATCGTGAAATGGCAATGTGCTCACAGCCAGACAAAATCATGAAAGAAGATATTTATTTGGACAAAGACAGTGGTACTATCAGATTTGCTGTTATTGGTGCAGATGAAATACATATTAATAAATTTCATAAAAATGCTGATGAACAAGTACTTGAATATTGGATGGAGAATAGTAAAGGAGAACGAATTCCATGGAATGCTCCTAAAAGTGCAGTCCTCAAGGCAATGAAGATGACAAAAGATTTGGCTGAAAAAGAAACTGAATAATTGTTTAGAAAATTTTATTTTTTAAAATAAACTTACAGAAGAAATCTTATTAGTTCAGTAAATAATTGAATTTTTTTATGTCTTTTAATCGTGTTCGATCAAATCATGAAGATATTCTTTTCTAAATACTATTTATATCCAATATTGAAACTTTTCTTCTCTTTACCTTACTGAATATTTTCAATACATAAGAAATATCTCAATAATTGATATGTAGACCTTTACAATTATGGAAGAATCACAACTTTAGTAAAATATGTACCTTGCTTCATACAGTATGTTGATAAAAAAAGCATCTTTTTATTATCTGAAAGAGATATCAATATAGATAACCTTGTGTCTCAAAACTTAAGAAAGTATTTAATTTATACAAGAGAATAAACGTTATAACATATAATATTTGAACAACTCATTTATTTATATTTATACTCTCTATCATTGGATGTGATTTGAAGGAGAATTGTATTATTGTCTACTAAATCATGTTATTCAAATTTTCAAAATGAATTTCATAATTAACAAAGAAATGGCAAGTTAACAATTTTGTAGCATTATTTTTAAGTTATCAGCAACATAGTTGCCTACAGCAAAATCTAATTTTTTGTCTCTATTGAAATCACCAACAGCAATAGAAAATGGAGAAGATCCATAACCCATCGAAAATATTTTTGGTTCTTCAAAAGTACCATTACCATATCCGACGAGTATAACTATATTATCTCCACCATAATTTGCAACAATGATATCTAATAGAGTATCATTATTAAAATCGTCAACAATAATCGAATAAGATTGAGCATTGTTTCCAATGAAATATGTTGTTTGATTTATGAAAGAACTATTATCATGACCAAAAAATATGCTTATATTTTCAGAATTAGCGATAACAATATCTAATTGAGTGTCGTTGTTGAAATTACCAACAGCTATCGATCGTGGAGATAAGCCAGCAGGATATGTTATTTGATTTTCAAAAGAACCATTATTGGATCCAAATAAAATACCGATATTATTAGTACCTGAATTTGTAACAGCAATATCCAGATGATTGTCATTATTGAAATCAGCAATAGTCAATGATCGTGGACGAGAACCATTACCTGTTACAAGTATTTGTTCAAATAAAAAAGCATGATTAGGAACTCCAAAAAATACACCAATATTATTAATAACAGGAATTGAAACAACAAAATCTAATCGAGTATCGTTATTAAAATTACCAAGAGCTATAAATAATGGATAAGATCCTGTTGAATATGTTGTTTGATTCGTAAAAGAACCATTACCAAATCCAACATATACACCAACATTGTTATCATCACTATTAGTAACGAATATATCAAGTTTAGTATCATCATTGAAGTCAGCAACAGCTACAAAAGTTGGTGAACCACCAGTTAAATATTTTGTTTGATTTGCAAAAGAACCATTACCAAATCCGAGAAAGACACTGATACTGTTCTCTCCATTGTTAATAACTACAATATCAACGTAAGCATCCTGATTCAATTGACCAACAGCTACATAATATGGTTTCAATCCAGTAGGATACTTGACTTGATTAGAGAAAGAACCATTCCCATGTCCCAGAAGTATACTTATTGTATTGTCAAAAGAATTTACAACAATAAGATCAAGTTTTTTGTCATTATTGAAATCATGAACAGCTATAGAAATTGGTGTACCACCAATTGAGTACGTACTTTGATTTGCAAAAGAACCATTACCAAATCCAAGAAATATACCAACTATATCATCAATTTGATTAACAACAGCAATATCTAATTGAGTATCATTATTGAAATCACCAACAGCTACGGAAATTGGCAGCTGACCACTTGTATACGTTGTAAGATTTACAAACGAACCATGACCATCTCCAAAAAGTATAACTATAGTATGGTCTCCACTATTTGCAACGACGATATCTACGTGATTATCATTATTGAAATCACCAACTGCTGCGGACGCTGGCATGGAACCGGTTGAATATACCGTTCGATTTGCAAAAGAACCATTGCCATATCCTAAAAGTACATTTACACTGTCGTCCAAAATATCAGTAACGATAATATCCAATTGAGTATCATGATTTAAATCACTGACAACTATAAAATATGGCCAAAAATCAGTTAAAAACGATGTTTTATTTGTAAAAGTACCAGTATCATATGCAGTATGAATATATATATTATCAGTATCATTATAAGTAACAGCAATATCTGATTGTCCATCATTATTAAAGTCACCAGTTGTAATAGTAATTGGAGCGAGATTCAAATTATTTTCAAAAGGTATTTGACGTACAAACATTCCATGTCCATTTCCAACAAGCATATCAACAGTATGAGAACCGTAACTAGCTATTGCCAGATCGTCTTGATTGTCATTATTAAAATCATCAATAGCGATCGAATATGGATTAGAGTTTGAACCTGTTGAATACATGATTTGCTCTTGAAAAGATCCATTGTCAAATCCAAGAAGTATACCAATATTATTCGTACCATAATTAGCCACTGCAATATCTAGAATAGTATCGTTATTAAAATCATGAGCGACAACATATTGTAAACGAGAACCACCACCAGATGCATATGACATTTCATTGTTGAAAGATCCTCTGGCATAATGTAACAAAACACTCACAGTATCGTCATTAAAATTAGTAACAACAATATCTAAATGTTTGTCATTATTGAAATCCCCAATAGCTACAGATGTTGGATCAGTACCCGTTGAATATGTAATTACACTTGTAAAAGAATTAATTCCATCACCATATAGTATAGCTATATTTTTACTAAAAGAGTTAGTTACGACAATATCTAATAGAGTATCATTGTTTAAATCGTCAACAGCTATCGATTGTGGTTTAGAAACAGCGAGATACTTTGCTTCAGATTGAAAAGAACCATTGCCATATCCGAGAAGTACATTTATACTATTATCTCCAGCATCAGCAATAATAATATCAAGTAATGTATCATTATTGAAATAACCAGCTGCGATAGATGATGGATAAGTACCTGTCCAAAATGTTATTTTAGTCGCAAAAGTGCCATTACTATATCCAAAAAGTATACAAGCATTACTATCATCAGAATTTACAATGACAATATCTAGATGAGTATCCTTGTTGAAATCACCAATGGCCAGAGAAGACGGTGTAGCACCAGTTGAATATATTATTTGACTTGCAAAAGTAGCATTATCATTTCCAAGAAGTATGCTAGTAGTATTGTCTTTAGAATTTGTAACGATAATATCCAAGTAAGTATCATTATTTAAATCGCTAACAGCTATAGCAGTTGGTTTTTGACCAGTTAAATATTCCATTTGATTTTCAAAAGAACCATTGCCATATCCGACTAGTACACTTATACTGTTATTTTTTTTATTGGTAACAACAATATCTAGCTGATTATCATGATTAAAATCACTAATAGCTACAGAATTTGGTTGATAACCAGTTAAATACAACATTTGATTTGCAAAAGAACCATTAGGAAAACCAAGAAGTACGCTTATATTATTAAAATAAGAATTAGTAACAACAATATCAAGTTGCCCGTCCTGATCGAAATCACCAACAGCTACCGATAGTGGACCAGCATCTGCTGAAAACGTTGTTTGAGGTTGAAAACCTTCATCATATCCAAAAAGAACATTAATAGTACCAGTATCATCGCTAACAACGATAATATCTAATAGATTGTCTTTGTTCAAATCAGTTACAGCAATTGATACAGAAGACAAAGATCCAGTTGAATTCATTCTTGGTTCGGAAAAAATACCGTTGCCCAATCCTAATAATACACCGATATTATTAATGCCTTGATTAGTTACAATTAAATCCATTCGATTGTCATTATTAAAATCACCGATGTCAATTGAAATTGGAGAAACATTATCAAGTGAATAGTTTGTTTGACTTGTAAAAGTTCCATTACCTTTAGCTAAAAATACACCGACATTGTTACTTCCATAATTAGCAACTGCTATATCTAAGAAATTATCATCATTGAAATAGCCAACAACAATTGAAGATGGATGAGAATTTATACCAGTTGAAAATGTCTTTTGATCTAGAAAAGTTCTGTTTCCATTTGCAAGAAATAAACCTATATTATTTGTACCATAATTAGCAACAACTATATCTAACTGATTATCATTATTAAAGTCTCCAGTGACAACATAAAATGGTAAAGAATCATATCCTGTTGAATATGCAATCGGATTTAAAAAGCTACCATTTCCAAATCCGAATAAAATACTAATCATGTCAGTCCCATAATTAGCGATAACAATATCAAGAATTTTATCATTATCAATATCAGTTATATTTAACCAACGTGGACGTGATATACCAGTAGAAATTTCAATTTGTTTATCAAAGGAACCATTTTCATATCCTAGAAATATACCTATGCAATTGGTACCAAAATTTGCAACAGCAATATCGAGTTGATCATCATGATTAAAATCACCAACAGTCACCATTGACGGAGTCGAATACAAACCAGTTGAATATTTAATTTCACCTTTGAAAATACCGTGATCTTGGGCAAGAAATATTGTTATACTATTAACAGCTCGATTGGCAATAACCATATCTAATAAATTATCATTATTGAAATCACCAATTGCAACAGATCGAGGTTCGTAATAATACTCAATTGTATTTGGAACTGTTGCTGTAAAATTCAACTCACACTGTTGAACTAAATTAAATAAAACAATTATTAAAATCTAGTTCACAAATATATACCTTTTGATTTGGATGATGTCAGACTTACAATCAACACACCAGTAATCATTGCTATACTTGTAAAGAGAAAAAATATTCCAACAGCTGTTGCAATTGGATGTCTTGACCAACAGGAGAATTCCCTGAAAGAAATCATTTTAATATACATATAAATTATGTATTATGAAAAAATAATGTATACAATGGTGTTGGTGTCATAGACATATCCTTCATGTCTTTCAAAATAGTAAAAATCCTTTCTATATCCTTCTGATTTTGTATTGAATCATTCTGTTGCTGATCGTTGATATGATGATGATGATGATGTACGTGAAGTAAATGTTCAAGAGAAAGAGTACGTTTCTTCTTAGAATATTGAGTCATCTATGTAGCATAAAAAGATTTAAATTTACAATAACAATATATTTTCGTAAAAAGAAATTCAAGACATGTTTAGTGAAGTATTTCAATTTTAAATAAAAAAATACACATACTTTATAATTTTTATTGATCAATAAGAGTAATGACGTTATTAAAAGATGATTTTTTTCTTCTTCTTATAAATTAGTTTATGAGAGTGAGTAGGTATATTCTATATATATATACATATCACTCATTATTCTTTTGATTATTTACGCAGTATTAAAATAGTCATGGTTTATTGCCATTAGTGACGATGTATTTATATTTTTATCCTACGCTTATATCTCATATGATTATAAAGTAAAGAAAGCGAATATACGTTTTTTTTTTTTTGTTATTATGACTAATGTATCAAAGCATCTTGTTAATTATATTTCGTACCTTTTTTTAGATATATGTACAGGTGACTAAGCTATTCATAATGACGATAATAATAAAAAAAACCATTCTTATTGTTTCGATGACGTATATATATATATGTCACCATTTATTGTTTAACCTTGGTTTATAATATGTAACGATTTGAAAAATAAATCAGATATCAAAAAGCAATAAAAAGTTTTAGATCTATTTTGTTTTTTAAACACATAGTCTTACAGGAATTATGAAGAATAGTTTGATTTAAAGTCTTTTAACAACGAAAAGAACCTTAAATAATTTGTCAATATAATCTATTTTTAGCAAAAATATGATATAAGACACGTTATACAATTGATCTTTAAGAAATGACAATTATTCTTGTATATGAGACTTAGCCGTTACAAAAACATTGTTATATATTTCCTTATTTTAAATATGAATCTTTAGCTTTTCAATTATTTTCCAGACAAACTTTTTCTTATATAAATATTCAGATATTTAAAAAATATTCTTTTAACGGTTTCAGCCATATTTCTTAATATACAGACTATTACCTATGTAATTACATTTCTATTTATAGAAATCAACGGAATAGCAACTATAGTATCCTATTTTATTTATTTACTAGCACACAAATCCTCATCAAATACTCGATCTAGTCATTTTCAAGGATATTTGATAAAATTTTTAACAAACTAAAAAATAAAACACAATATTTCCCTTGATGGATGCGGATATAGTTTGTAGGTATAATATATAAATCTATACTCATCTCTTGTGTTGTATAGTTACAAGTTTTAATAGTTTACATTTACAATACGTTCTATAAATAGATTTGTTCTTTTTTTATATACACTGCTTGATGAACCTAAACTTCATTGAATCAAGTATCTTCTACCGAAATCAAATCATACATCTGCAAGTAAACGTAACAGAATATCCATTTGGATGTATTTATTGAATCATCTCTCACTAATATGGAAGCTAGAGAAAAAAAATATTTATTTTTCTAACTATTTAAATGATCTTGTGTACTTATTTTCACTTTTTGTTTCTTTTTTTTTTACTCAGAATATCTGTTTATAAAAAGATCAGAATTTCTTTGATCGTACTTCATTTTTTATCGAAGAAGAAAAAGTTGTTAATTTCTTAGAAAGTAAAAAAATTGATACTGGAACGAAAAAGAAAGACCTTGATAAGTCAGCAAAATTCATAGTTTCACATATGACATACTCAGATATATTACTTATACTTATATGTCCAGAGACAGAAAGTTTCATAAATAATGTGATCATTTTTCTCGTATAAAAAAACGATTTCAATGTATAGAAAGTTGATAAAACAAAATGTAATTCAGATATGACGACGAATCTGTTAAAAAATATTAAAATAATTTTAAGAATATGAAACAGATCTTTTTCTTTAAACTATAATAAAAGTTCATTCCAAACCGTTTTCACGATATGTCCATACATACAAAAAATTAATTCAATCAAATATAAAAATAGATATATAACGTTCGTGTTTATAGAAAATCTTTCGATTATATTTATTAATTTGTTGATTGACTGGCAACTTGATCCAATAATGATGTTGCTGTTTTATTATTTGAATGATTTTCTGTATGAGTACTAGTATTAGCCTCAATTAGTTCAGTGAGTTTTTTCTTTGTTCCCTGTGTATGACCTGTTTTCGTTACATGGTCTGGTATAGGAATAGGATGATGCCTATGATCAGTTTGTGCAGCTGTACGAGCTACTTCGGGATCAGTTACAGGTTTTGAAGTCGTTGCAGTTGTATTTGAATTGTTTGTAGACATAATTTTACGTTGCTTTTCGAATTATATAAATATGTGTTTCAACTATAAGAAATGAAAAATAAATGTTAGTAAGAACGATACAATTCTTTTTTTTCTTCTGGCTCTTCGAAACGAATTCATTCATTTTCATGCTGTAAATAGACAAAAGAACGTATTAAATGACATGTGTTGAATTGTTACTGTATATGCCATAGGCTGTTACGAATATTAAATATCATTGATTGTATTTCTCTTCAATGTTTCCACCTTGCAACACTCAAAGAAGTAAAAAAAAATAACTTCTATTCTCAAAAATAGAATAAAATATAGAAAAAAAAATTTTTCATTGTTAAAACACAGTGTATATACAAATAAATAGAAGTAAGTGCGATCCACGAAGAACGTGACAATAGCAAATAGTATGTTTACATTACTTTTCATCGGAAACCAAAATTGAGGGTGTAAATGTAATCGAGAGAATTTCTCCTCTACTAACACATCTACTAACAGTTGTTCATATTCAAACTTTTATAAAATCTATGTATATTTTCTTATGTAAATATACGTGAAAAAATGTTAGAAAAGTTTCAGTAAGGAACCAAAATAAAAATATTAGTTGATTTGAATAGTGACATCGAAATGATAAATATATTGAAAGGACGATTTTATTTTATCTTCTCTATCATCAACCGAAAAAAAATAACTATGTATAGCAAATAGACTAAATATATCAAGATAAAAAATAAGAGGAAATAAATAATGATATTATTTTTTTTCGTTTTGGTAATTTATTAAGCAAAAAAAACGATATATTTAACACAATATTAAAAACATTTAGAATAAGTCAGTTAGTATATTCTTGTCGTTAATTATGCTATATCCACTTCAATACTCCCAATTTTTTTCCACAGTGCGGACAGTAGTGAGCTTTATTCTAAATAAAATTCATGAATAGACTAATTAAACAAATAAATCTTAGTCATACTTTAAGATCATCAATAAAAAATGGTATTAAACAACATCCAAGCCAACAGCCGATAAGGAGAAGAACTGCACAACATATCCATGCTATCAAGCCATTCTCTTTTTCAATGCGTGTTACAACTTGTTGATGACAATATATGCACTTACAGTTGAGAGGATCTTGACCATACTTGAACGAAGTGCCACTAGATTGCTGATGAATTTGACTTGATGCTGAAGATTGAGCTGTATCTAAAATATTCATAATAATAGATTCATAAAATTTATCTCATATTTGTACGATAAAAATATTTTGCTGACTGATCTGTATTATGTTATACTACTTTTGTAAAATGAATAAAAAATTGAAAAAGTAATTCTATAAAGAAATATCATTCCAGTATATTATTCATCTTTTTCTAAAACATCTATTTCTTCCAATAAATATTCTCTGAAGAATATTTTTACTAATTCCCCTTCTCAATTAATTCTTATTTAGAAAACATATTTTACTGTGGCACACATTATTTAATAAATCAAAAACTATTTTATCTACAGTGAATATTTAACAATTATATGTTTCTCATTCTAAACTAGATATTTTGATTATATTTACATATGATTTTTTCATAATGTGAATGAAAACAAAACTAATTTCGAATATTGCAACTTCTATATAAAGAGATGACTCATACTTCTATGACTTTTTTTCATAATGAGTAAATAATTGATATGACGTGATATGGAACTAGAATGAAAATGATTCTTACCATATCTTGGAGGTAGTTCAATCGATAACTTTGGTAGGTAACCATCATTACTAAGCGGATGTTCAATGACCGCTTCATCTGGCCTCGTATCTGCCGTATTATTTGGCTTCGTATCCGCCGTGTTGTTTGGCTTCGTATCTGCCGTCTTGTTTGGCTTCGTATCTGCCGTCTTGTTTGGCTTCGTATCTGCCGTATCGTTTGGCTTCGTATCTGCCGTATTGTTTGGCTTCGTATCTGCCGTATTGTTTGGCTTCGTATCTGCCGTATTGTTTGGCTTCGTATCTGCCATATTATTGCTTTATAGAATGTTATTTCTTTCGATATGTATATATATAGTAATAATGAAATGGAGTATGATACATAAAGTATAACTCCTCTTTCTTTCTGCATTTTTTTTTGTTTTTCTTTTGAGTAATAGCGTAGGATGAGCAACGAAGTGTAACGATACGTGTATGTCCATTCACTTTGTCATATTTCATTCAAATCATTGATTCAATAATGTTAGAATGATTTCAATGGTAAAAAATTAATGAAAGAAAAAAAAGCTAGTCAATAGATCATATTCTAATCATGATATAATTATTTTTGTTTAGAACAAATTAAAAAAAAAGAACATATCTGAATATATATAATTGTTATATTTTATAGATATTCTTCATAAACTATAATAGTTTGTACCTATATGATTATTTTTTATTGAAAAAAACCTAATACTCTTCTTTCAAATAGTTTCAAAGTGATTTTTAATAAGAACTATATGATTGATAGATACAATCTTGAAAAGATTTGATTTTATTGTTCATTAATAAAAAAATTTTTTTATATTGAAGGATATGATTGATTCATTGATATTTCATCTTATTGAGCCAGCTAAAGAGAAGAAAGCTTAGTATCTATTTACGTAATTTTTGTTTTGCATATTTATATGCTAATATATACATAAAAAAATTTACTTAGAATTTCAGATATATTTATCTGTATGATGAAGATTCACTTAATATAATTAAGCAAATGAATAATTAATAATAATAAGCTTTAATAAAATCAATCTTTAGTCTGATTTATTCAAGTTTGGTTATGATAATGAAGTTTTTGAGTACTATTCCATACTAAAAGTACAAGTATTTGGTAAAGGTCTAGTAAAGCTTTTAGAGATTGTTATCATGGTGATGATCATCAAGGTGACATTATTTTGCTGATTATTGTTATCAAGGTGATTATTATCAATACTTATTATCGTAGGAGTAATGATGTAATGGAGTTATGGCTGGCGAGTGTCATTTTAACAACCTTAAAGTACTATTCGTCTGACGATGACTTTCAAATAAAATCGAAAATTTATGAACAAGTATTACTTAGATATAATATGAAATTATTATTATGAAGATTCACCTCTTTTTTTTAAATCAATATTAAAAAATTTGAGTTTAAGTATATTCCTTGTTTGCAGTTTAATATATAAACGCAATTTTATATTATGAAATATATTTAATTAGCTAAAGAATAAATAGTTGATCACAAGTCATGGTTTAATCTAATAAATCTCATACGAAATAAGAAGGAGAATATCGATTTATTATTTATATTTCATCAAGATGCTAATCTTATTTAGCCAATGATGTATATCAAAATTAATAATAAAGAACTGCTATTCATAAGTAATTACTAATATAATATACTATACGTTTTTTTTTCATAGATTATTGCAAAGTACGAGAAAGTAGAAAAATATGTATATACGTCATTTGATTCTGTATTTTTGTATATTTTTTTTAATATGAACTGATTGATGAAGTATGACAGACATGATTAAAAAATCGGACAAAAGAAACTTGTTTTTTGATTAGTCAGACTATTTTCAAAAACAATCTACGCAATATAAATTAAATAAATA